CCAGACTCCAGAACAGGTTATCTGTACAGGTGTTCTGTGTAGACTGAACCCAAGACTTCTAAAAGCATAAGCCTAGTGCTTGGTTTAAAGGAAGCACTGAACAAATGGCTGTTTAATTCCACCTAACCTCTGGAGCAGAGTTGTTCAACTTTCAGGCAGCCAGGGGCCATATATTGTAAGGACTACAAACCTGGGGACCATGCACTGTAGGGGCCACGTGTAGGGGTGCACCAATAGAGATTTTTGGGGCCGATACTGATAGCTGATTTTTAAGGAGGCATATCAGCCGATACCAATCCAATTTACAAAACAGCTGGGTGCAGCTGGTAAGTTTGTTGTGCTGCAAGGGCAGGAGGGAGGGAAGGGGCATGGGGGGACAGATCAAGGCCCCTACAGTAGGGGAGGGAGCAGGGATAGGGCGGGCACAAGATGGAGCCATGGCTCATTCAGGGGCTGCAGGGATGGGGGGCAGGTCTCACTGCTGCACTCACCCCAGGAGGGTACGGTGGGGAGGGCGTGTGCCCTCCAGCTGCATGTGGCATGGGCGGGCCTGGCACTAGGGTGGTGGTGGGCAGGCAGCAGTGCAGTGACGGTGCTGGGAAGGGGCTATGGGGAGGGCTGGAGCCACCCCAAAAATCTCTGTAGCTGCGCCATAGGCCCCCCTCCCTGCGCCGATCCCAGCAGATCCCAGGACACATGCTTCCCTCCCATGCACTCTTGGACAAGCAGTGGGAGCAGCAGAGCCACCACTGGATGGGCAGACGAACCACCAAATGAGCTGCACACATCAGTGGGACCTGCCCCTCTCCCCCGCTTCCCGTGCTCCCCAGACGAGTTGCAGCTCCATTCCATGCCCTCCCAACCCCGGTTGGGCAGTACCTGCCCCAGCTCCAGCCCCAGCCCCAGCCCCAGCCCCAGCCCCACACCCTCCTTATTGCAGAAGCTTTGATCTGCCCCCCTGTCCCTCCCCTTCTACTACAACAGACTTACCAGCTGCACACAGCTTCCACACTGCTGGCTGTGCTCCTCTCTGTCTACATGCTGCGCTGTGGCTGCATGCATGCATGGGCCATTTATCAGTCAAATTATTGGCCACATCAGTCCGATTTCTGATATAGACAGTTTTCTTTATATTAGTGCCAATCCGGTATCAGATCAATGTATCAGTGCACCTCTAGCCACATGCTATGTGGGCTACAGCCCCACAGGCTGCACTCTGCATAGGCAGGCATACCTCTCAGCTGCCTCTTGCTGCACAGCTGCCAAGTACTCCCACACACACACACACACACACACACAGAGTGTAGGAAACCTGGCTCCCCTAGTCTCCCAGTTGCATGTGCCACTCACTTGCAGAGGGCAGCCCAGCTCTCTCTTCTTTGCCATGTGTGCAGCTTGAGCACTCCAGCCTCTCCTAGCTGCTGTGACAGGAGTAGCGGGGAGACTGGCAGCAGAGTGGGAGCCTGCGGGCCACATGCTACTCTTTTGGAGGCTGCATGTGGTCTTCAGGATGTTTGTGGGACAACCCTGCTCAAGAGAAAGACAAAGACCCACATAGGGTTGATGTGGGTTACTTACAATATCCCTGTATACACATTGTGAAGGACCAGTTAGAGGGAGATTGTGAAGCCTGGATCCACAGCCCAGAGGCAGTCAGGGTCTTTCTATTGACTTCAGTAGGTTCTGGATTAATAGAAAGTCCAGAATCTCTAGCTTTATACATACTGGGATGGGAAGAAGGAAGGATATTTTTCTCCTGTCATCATTTAGGTGTAGACAGTACAGAAGCAAGGCTGAATTCTGAGATGTGCTGAGCACAGCCATCACCCATTGACTTCCCAACTCAGGAGTTCTCAGGATTGAGCCTATATGGGAAACCCTAAAAGCATCTATGTAAACAGAAAGAGAACAGTTTAGCAAGAACTCAGGCCGAATCAGAGCATTTGCCAGGACTTAGCCAGGGCTTGTAGAAATCCTTTTAATTGTAATGACTGTTCTTAAGGCTTCAATCTGGCCACGGTGATTCCAGGAGCTGTCAGCAAGAGTGTCTTTTAACAAACAGCTTTTCCACTCTCCATCTTTCATCAAGAGGCTGTCAGTAACTTTAGGGGATCTTCTGGGAGTCCTCAAGAGCATTACTTAACCTAGGGTCAGTCATTCAGATCAGGACCTGTCTTGTGCTCTTACCATGCACTGGGTTCCTCACTCCCAAGGACAGTCTACATCTATTGACCTCTGGAAACAAATGCTAAGAAAAGTCTGCTATCAAGTGGAATACAGCATAATCTCTGCTTCCTGTTATGCATATAAATTAATAGGAAGCTGCCAGGTTAGTTAATGGGTGCATGATCACAGGTTTTCTTAGTTGCTAAAATGTATGCCCAACAGTCCTGAATGAAAAACCAAGGTCTACTATGGATAGCGCTTAAAAAAGGACACCGTTAAAAAAAAAATCACACTTCTTATTTCCCAAATTCCTAGCAATGATCAATAATATTATAACAAAGAAAGATTGGAGGAAAAATCCTTTACAATTGTTTTGCTTTTAATTTCAGCCTATCTGTTCAGCTACCCACACTTCAGTTACAGTCAGGCTCCAAATCTGCAATTGTGTTGGCCCTGCACAGACCCCTGTGGGATATACTAGAACAGGGATGGGTAAAATCCGGCCTGTGGGCCAGATGTGCTCGGCAATGGAATCCATTTCCCAGCAGCCCCTGCCCGCATGGCTGAGGATGGTCTCCATGGAGACCCCAGATGCAGGTGTGCTGTGATAGCTTAAGGCTGGGGTTGCCATGGAGATTGGCTCCCGCCATGCTGGCAGGG